AGATGTTGCAAAAGATATATCTGCTGAGGAACTCAGCTAACAGATGTTTCTGTATATCAAAGCTATCTTCAAGTTTTGTACAATGAAAAACCTTTTCAAATAATCAAATTGTACTTTAAACAATCTTTTACTTCAACTGTGTATTTGATATTGACAATAACCAAAATGTACGTCAAACTATCATCTTCCTTACCCTTGACTGTAAATAATATTAGTAATAACTAAATTTCACTTTGAATGACTTTCTACTTTATCGTAATGTCTAATAAATGTTAACAATAATCATATTTCACTTTAACATACCTTCTACTTCTACTAAATAATGAAAAACTCCTTCCTTCTACTTCATTTGGATATCTATTAATTTTACAATAATGACATTTTACCCCAAATTAACTTTCCACATTTCCTTCTTGTTAATACATATTGGGGATGGGCAACATCCCTTTGCAATACATCATCTCTCATCTCACGTGAGAACAGTATTTTATCTTATGATAAGGTTTTTAAAAAGGTAATAATATAAGCTATAACAATGATAACATTTTATCTGATATTATCATTTTGACTTACCTTTTTTAAACTTATTAACAGGAAGCTGCTTCAGATGCTTTGATGATAATTTATTCCTTTGTCTTTGTCTATTATCTTTAATGCATTTGATTACCTAAAAACAACAAAATCTAGTTTAACATCTTTTAACATGAAGTCTGTTTTATTACATTAATTGCAAAAATCACACTTAATACAATATCAATCATTACAGAATACTCCATTTTTTATTTATTAAATTAACATGGATGCTCATGTTGAATAAACATGTTCAGCTAAGTAAATAAAATCAAGTAAAAGTTATCTGATTGTTATAAAATTATCTGGTTATTAGTTAAAAAACAAAACTCACTTTTGAGAAGCTTTATTGGTAAGTGCATTTTTACTGACACTTTCATAACTCTTGGAATCATTTTACTAGTAATCATACCTATATCGAATATTTAACTTTAAGTAATTAGATGTAATCACATCAAATCATAATAAAAAAAAATAATGAACACAATCACCTACTTGTTTCAAAAGATCTCAAACTGACTGATAAACCATGTTTTAGTACATAGAAATGTTAAAATATTTCAAGACCCTTTTAAATGTTAGTAGTACTAAAGATATTAATGGTAATGTTTATCATAACAAGTTAGTTTTTTTATGATAACTGGCAATAAACAACTGTGTAGAAAAACGAAAAGTTTAGAATAATGTAACACATATAATGTTTAACAAAAACTATGAATAATGATGTCATACTTCTTACGAGCAGTGAAATGTTAATGTGTACTAGCCATAAACAACAAACTATCATAAACAGAAATCAATATATAAAATATTATTTAGTTTAAGTTTATATCAATTATGCATGATCAAAATGAAATAAGTGTTACCTTACATGGCGAGAAGCTAACTGCAGTATACACAAGAATATATATGACAAAAGTAATACTTACCATACACAATGGTAAGGTTAGTGGCACTAATACCATGTAGTGCAGAATGTATATATAACAACATGCTACTTACTAAACATGAATTCACTAATACGGTTTATGGCATTTACAATACACAGCAAAAATAGAACAGAGAAATTTACCATACAAATTGATAAAAAAGGTTGCACTTACCATATACAGCAACAAGATTAGTGGTACTCATCACGCATAACAGAATGGTGTACTTATATAAATATATTATGGCAAGGCTTAGAAGTGGAATTATCATACACAGCAGAATGTTAAACAACAACAACAGCATATAACAACACTCCGCACATCTCAGTGAACATCAGACTAAAGTGGGGCAATTAATGGAATTTGCTAATCAATTAATTGATTACATTCAACTAACTCGTTATTATCAAACGAGATTTGGATAATTGGAATAATCAATAACATTATTTTGATTAGTTGATCGTTTTAGTGATCTGCGACACTAATTGATTACGTTGAATTAATCAAAACTAACAAAGAAAATTTATAATGGTAATAATTACAAAAGCTAACTTTAATTATTTGATTATTTTACCTGAAAGGTACCTGATTATATTGATTAATTGTTCAGCCCTACAGGAGAATAAACAATAAACTAGTACTTACCATAAATGTTAACATGAGGATAAAGCAGACACCAATTACAAGAGCAAAGGGAAGCAAATATGTATTGAGGTTAAAGACCTGATCTGGATACAGAATTAGTATGTAACTGTTGAAAATAAAATTCAAAAAGAAAAAAATAAACATCTCAAAATGCATAGAATAAGTAACAAAATAAAATACTTCAACTTAAATATTCAATATTGCAACAAAATCAATAAAGATTCTTTAGCGGTAAGTTTTCTGAAATAACAAACTGTATTAATTTTGCATTTTTTTCAGTGTAAAAATACTCAATAAAATACACTTTATTAACTGATAAAACTTTTCCCAACAGCTCTCTTTTTTGCAAGTACAATCTTCTTATGAATGAACTTAAGGTTAACTGCTTTCAATCCTTTCCAGATGGGTGTTCCAATTGGAAAACTAAAACTATATGATTATTAGGAGTTCCAGCTTAGACATTCATTTCATTTCCTTCATAAGAATTCCAAGATACACTGAAACTAAGATAATATTGTTTATCCACTATAAAAATTTATGCCTACATATTTAATATACTCTAGTGATATTATTTATGAGAAAGGACAAATGCTTATAATGTACAGATCAATTTTAGGCAAACAAATGCTCCTACCATTAATATGTTTACTTAACTATCAAGAATATTCCTTCACGAGAGAAGTTTTGCTCCTGTAAGTAATTCTAGTAATTAGATACCATTAAAGAGAGTGAACAGCAAAACTATATTATTCCATATTGATATTGAAAATAACTACCACATGTGGGATATACAAGACTGTTCCATTTAAGTTATTAGTTTATTCATGATCTAATACTTAATGATTATTTAGTTTTCATAACAACTGTTAAAAGTTAATTATTTTAAAAGTGATAGTTATGACATGTTTTATGTAACTCTGTACAAGTCTTACATTGTGTATGTAGTTTAGTTGTTGTACTAGGCTTTTGTAATATTGTTGACGTCATTTTACTCAAAGCTTCTAAGTTTTTCTCACTATGTGTAATATTGTTGTTACTAGAGGGCTAGTAACAGGCAATTTCTAAAGTGAGAGTTTCACAGTTTATATTATAATAACAGAGATAAAGAAGAAGAATTTGTCTTGTCAAGTGGTGTTCTAAAGTACTTGAACCCACCTGTGTGGATTTTGATGAAAAGGAGACAATTATTTAAAGCTCTGGATACAACTGTCATAACCAACAGTTACAGTGGTGAGTTTCACAGCTTGTATTGTAACAACAGAGATAGAGAAGAATAAGTTTTCTTGTCAGTTATGTTCTAAAATAATTGAAACAGTCTGTGTGGACTTTTGACATAAAAGAGAATTATTTAAAGCTCTGGATATAACTGTGGTAACCCATGGGGTCATGTAAGTGAATTTATCACTGACTGTATTGTGATAACAGAGGAGAGAAGAAATAACTTGTCGTGTCAATTGGGTTCTAAGGTAACTGAACCAGGCTATGTGGACTTTTGACAAAAAAGAGAATTATTTAAAGCTCTAGATTCAGCTGTGGTAACCAACAGTGTAATGAATTTTTTTGTACATATGGTTGACTTGTTTTGAATATGTTATTTTGAAACAAGTGGATTTTGTGTGCTGTCTGTTTATTGTTGAAATTTATTTCCAACAAGTCACAGACACCTACTGTAAAGAATTCAGCACATATAAAAACCTGACACCACATATATATTTAAATTTTATAACAAACATACAATGCTCATAAATCATTAGATGCATACATTCATTGGGAAAAGTTGCTAATAATGCACAGTACTTTATGTACAAATTCCCAAGTGCAGCTTGATATCTGAACACATCCCAGGCCCTACAATTGAAATATACTCATTTAATTTAAATAAAAATAATCATCAAATGAATGATAAAGAGCCTTATTCATAAGAGATATTTTTCTTACACCAGTATTTGTAACTCGATAATGATTCAGCCATATTTTCATCATCTATCTAAACATGTCTAGAGATGATTAAATATCGATCTGCAGGATAGAATAATCAGATAAATTTCTAATAATCATTCTAGAAACAATATATTTTAAACCAGCCACCACTTTAACTGCAAGAAAAAAAGATTTGTGGGGGTCATCCTTTAAATTTTAATTTCTTATTATGTTATAGTTCAGTAGCTACTCTGATAAAATTTACTAAAGATAAAAAAAAAAGTTTTCAAATTTGATTAACAGGAGGCCTAATAACTGGAAATTTTACTTAGAATACAAATTTGTGTGTTAAATCAAAAAACAAAAATATATTTTTTTAACATTTTCACAAGAAACTTGTTTTACTGTGTTCGGGTAGAAATTTTTGTAGGAATGTTACTTCAGTGTAACCAAATTAATGGCAAAATGTTATTTTATATACTTCAATGAGACTGCTAAAAACATGATTCATCTATTAAAATGAATATCACTTTAATTTAGCAAGTTTAGGGTTCAGATTCCATTATATGATAACTTCTACAGGAAGAGCTGCTAAATTTTACAATAATAATTACAATTAATAATAAATAGTATTAATTATGAGTACATACCAATCTACCTAATACTACAAATAACTAAAACACATACTGCCTAATTTGTATTTAATACTGTAAATTCCAGAAATACATAAAAACTTAAATTTTATCAAATATGTGACAAGTTCCAATTAGATGTCCACAGAACAACAGCACAGTCTATGTGAGTATATGACGACTAGAGTATGTGGTCTAGTTCTAACCATCTCAATCCGCCAAGACTTTGCTAAAGAAAGTCTGCCTAACAACTATACTTGAAAGGAGGGCTTATAAAGGGAATAAACAAAATGTGACTAATTCTTAAAAGCTGAAGGACAATTTAATAGAAGTTAGCAAAGAATTTGAGGAAAGTCAGATATAAAAGATATTTTTAAATCTCTATGGTGTAAAAAATCCTTAAACTAGCACTGGAGTATGTAAAGTTAGGATAAAGAAAGTTACTTATATCCTATAACGACTGTGTTAATTATGTGATCTATAAAAGCCAACAATCACATTATGGTAAATGACAGACCCAGCATAACTTTTTGGTGGAGTTCGATAAAGTATGAAAGGTTAAATGCTTAGGCTTGTGTTGAAGTATATACATTTGTGAAGAAGTTATGTATATTGTGGATTGACAATAATAATTATGCAACTTATACTAGTTGTCAGTTCATACTATTTATATTGAATCAATGACCGCACTCTGGAAAACATCTCGCAGAATCACAGTACAATACAGTTGCACCAGAAGGGTACTGAATTTCTGAATAATAAAGGTAAAACTGATCAGTTTAATCAGTTGGCTTAACCATAAGAGTACTGGTCAGTTTATTACTTGTTAATGACGGAACTGTGATTTAACATTACTATGCCACTGTTCATATTGCATCCTCAAGTTCTAGCAATGAAATCAAACACTCTTCAAAAATCTATTTCCTAGAACATCAATACAATTCTATTTTTAAAAAAACTTTTTTAGACTGAGCATGTTGTTTCAACACACCTGCCATTTTGGCTTGCATAAAATACAGAATTAAGTTTCACAAGCCTTGACAAACTTTCTTAATGAACATGTATTTTCTGTCTAAAAACAATCATATTATTAAAAACCCTGCATTCTCCATATTACTTTTTTCACAACTAACATAGGGTCATTCCAATGCAAAGTTTCATATCTATATTCAATATTTAATTTAGAATATAAATTTAATCTATTTCAATATATGTGCCTGAAAATAGTGAAGAGCTGATATTAGGACATTATGTAATGGTTATTTAGTTAATTTTGTAAATAAGACCTTAAAACATGTTTTAACTTTCATTTTTGTAATATCTTTAACAATCTAAGCTACATACATTTTTAGTTATTTATTTACTGCTTCTATAGTTTATAAAATGTAGAATTACAAATAAAGTGTCATATTTCTCAAGCTTCTAGAGGTTGTGTAAACTTATTTCTATGTACTTTTTACAGATAGTAATGCCCAGTTGTAAACTATTTCAGCATTGAAAATAGATAAACTTCCCAGCTGTTATAATGAGTAAGAGCTCAACTAAACTTCAAAATGATGTAAACTAACTTGTCAATTATTCCTTATAGCATAATTCTACTTTCATAAGTTTGAAAAAAAGATGTATGATAATGCCACATTTGAAGGTTGAACACACTGTTTCTAGCAATATTTCCCAGCTAATTAGAAGCCTGAAAATATTTCCATAGTTTCTACTGATGTTTTTTATGTTGGTGATACTGGATTTTTATTATAATGCTTCCTTTTGAAAGTTAAAAAAATGTTAATTTTTATAGTTTTGTTGTAATAAAAACAAACAGAAATTGTAGTTTAGTTGAAACAGAAGCTTTATTTAATACACATATAAGGTTTAAAGAACATAATAGTATTTCATAATCAATTTCAGAAGCTAAAAATTCATAGAGATATTTAATATTATACGATAGCATGATTATAATTAATTATACCCATCAACTCTAATCTATCATACTTAATTTTTGCAAAATTTTTTTATTACTCCTCCTCTTTTTTTTTAAAAGAATTTTATTGAAGTAGATTGATAAGTGAATAGATGTTTTAATTTTATAATTCAATAGTAATGTATATTGTTAATATCATATCAGTTTTTCTACTTTGTGATTACACTGAGGACCAGTGAAGCTAGAATGGTGCCTCCATGATGGTACAAGTACCCAGGAACTCTGGATCAATATTAAGGGGATATTTCCAGAACCCACACCTTCCAACTTAACCCAAACTCACTGCATGTACATTCAATCAACTCCACCACATGCTAAGGTCATTTCAATTAATGGAGAGGATATCACATAGATCCCAGGCCATAATATATAATACCATGTATACAACACACAGCTAACAGGCTCTATCAATCTATCCACCTATGAATATTAATTTTGACAAAGCTACAGTGCTGAATAACATATCATTAGAAAGATAACTTTCCCTCATACTTGTCATTAAAGTCAGATTTCAAAAATGTTGACTGGGTGGGATGTAGTACCAATCAAAAATCATGATGTTGAGTTTAGCTCTCC